GATTGATTTGAATGACTTCACATTCACATTCAGTATGCAATACTGATGAGCTCTCATAAGAGCGAAACTCGGGTCTAGTGATTCCGAGGGTATGGTTGAATCGATGAATTGAGGATTGTGCGCAAAGGTGAATTCCGAAGGATAGTCAGTCAAATCAATCAGTACCAATTATCTGTGGTGATCCAGGCCTACGAGATGAAGCCTACCCTGGAGCGGCGCGTTAGAGTTTTTGGACAACTGCGATCAATTAAATTTCAAGGGTGACGTCAATGACGCGCAAACTTGTCACTGCTTCTGACTACATACCAGATCGTGCAGATCGTGCCAGCCAATCCGCGACAGTGCAGTCCAGTTCAGACAGAAGCAGAAAGATGCAAGCAATACTGGAATGCGATTGGTGGAGGCCCGGATAACCAATGTTCTTCTTTTATTCTTCTTTTGTTCATATTATTTAATTGCCCTCAATTCTTCTAATAAACGAACTACGAACTAGCATTCCTGTCGCCTTTTGCTCGCGTCTCAGTCACGTGGGATATTGCGTGCTAGTGCCATTGCGGTGCAATGCTTCCGTGATCCAGTTCGTGATAGCTGATCCGTAATTCGTGTTCCGTGATTCGTATTACGTGGTCCGTGTTCCGACTTCAGTGCGTATTACTACTACTACTGCTACAATCATTACATTATCCCACACACACTACTCACAAGTAAATTTGAGTCAAATGCGTCGGTTATTGTGGAAAGCTTTGGCCCCTTTCCCAGAAATTTTATGTTTTTGTATGTGCGTATTCGTATCACTCGACAAAGGAGATCCATTTAAAACTGCTATTCATTACTGTGAGTTAACCCCGGTTTATTTTTGAGATACCTGATTTTTTTAAACACGACGTTAAAACAACCACTGTTAACGGGACATTCCTTCTTTTCCCACTTGTTTTAGGGTTTAATACGTCGTCAATGCTATCAATTAAATGTTGTATGATCTACACTGATGGTAAGACAACACGAACTCTTTTACAATAAGGTGACTGACTATGGCAGTGAAAGGCAGTGCAAACATTTGCGCGGCGGTAAGTGGCTGATAGGTAGCCTTCGCTGTTGTCCAAAATGTAGCATAATCAAATCAACGGCGGCTTGTCAGGACACACCGGTTTAACTNAACCACGAGCCACTGTAACAAACAAACCGATTTGATATCCGGTATCCATGATGAATAACCAACCCAGGTGTCTGCATTCAAATTCCTTTATTGATCGACATCATATTACCTATGGGACAGTTCAAGTGGAAATGGGGCAGCTGTACCTACACAGCTACACAGCTGTAGCTACGTAATGCCTATTTAAAACCACATTCATGTAAACGGAATAGAGAGTAAAACCGTCTAAAAAAAACCTCCTCATGATGTTGTGTTTATTAATCCTCGGGGAGGTTCCTAATTTCTTATCAGAATAATCAGTACTAGAATTTTACCAACATATCTTTCGACATATTCTATTTGTGAAAGCAGCTCATCAGTAATGTGAAATATGCACCTACAGAGTTCAGTTTTTGGTGAACAATAAAAGTTCTTATTCAAATTTTGAAAATTCTTTTCTTAAATCCAGTACAAGATTGAATGCATCGATGTGTCTTATTATTCCGGGATGAGACTGGAAAAGTGCTGCGGTAAATTAAAGCATTGGTAGAGAACAGTTGGAAAAGAGAAAAACTGAGTGCGTTATTGAGCGAAAAATGGACGATATCCAAGTAGATGAGATATCACAACCTGCTTAAGCAGTCAGAAGTTAGCGTATCGTGATGACCATGTGGATTTTACTTTCAAATTGTATTCCTCTGTTTATGCTTTCCTAATAAGCCATTGGTTGTTCTGTTTTTGCCGATTTAGTAGGTAGAAGAGCACACAACGGATTAAGCTTACGTAAACCGCAAATATATAGCTTGTTTATAGACCGGGAAGCAGGCAGAAACGAACAACATGTGAGAAGGCAGGCAGGCAGGCAGGCCGACATCGGCTCGCACATCACACTACATTAGAATGCAGTCACTCGACCGACATTNCAATCAATCAATCTATTCACAGGTATGTATGACAAACGTATCAGTTATTTGTAGGCCACAACCACAAAGGAATTCATTTCCGATTACACGGATTGGATTCTACATTGCACAGTAATTTGCAATAAGAAAGCCAGGAGAGCATGGTTTCGTTCGAAAAAATTTGAATGGGATCGAACTCGTATCTGTCGTTTTTCGAGCACCATGTGATTGGATATTCTTGTCACATTCTGTGAGATCTCTTCCTCTGGCCGAATCCACAATAGATCACTTACCAAACCCATCTCTCGATTTTTATGCCCTCAGATTGTACTATTAACCCACCTTTATTTAAGTAGTATGTACGTAAAGTTATTGATTGAGATCATCTTCTATTCATTGGATTTTTTTATCCCTCATTGTTTCGCTCCTCATTCACGGGATTGAATAATAATAATATCCATTTGTGTTTTTTACTTATGTCAGTTGAATACCTTATTCAAGTACGATTTCTCGATTTCGATGACGGTTTATGGTGCATCAATTTCATAGTATAACGAAACCTCGTTAAAGATAACAATTGTAATTTGTTTATTAAAACGACCCTGGTCATGATAAAGGTATTGTCCCCTAGTATTTTTGAACCAATAGACCATTCGTCTTTGCAGGTAGTATGTCAACAATTTTCTTTGCCTGGTACATCGCTTGTTCACCGACAGTGAGACAAACCTGCGACAAATGAGCGGGCGACGCAATTTAAACTTGGTGATTAAATTAATTAGTGCTGTGCTCTGCTTCTCAGCAGCTGACGTCAGTTGCAGTTCAAATTGGGCCGTCACCTTCACAACAATGGCATGAGAAAATCGCGGATAATCCACTCAAGCTATCCTGGCTAATCGCAACGTTTCGCAGATGTAATCGAATTTAACCATCGTCTTGAGTTGATGATGTGGTCGGTTTTATTCCTCACTATTTCAGTCGTGATAGAGAAATTCCGTTGTGATAAATGTGATAGATAAAACTCATGTTCTCATCGAACCACTTGCACAAAACGGGACCCCTGAANTGTCTCGTCTGCTTTCTAAGCCACTCGGCTCGTAAAGAAAACTCTTCTGGATTTGTCCTCCTGTACACATACTCAACAAGTAATACAGGTCAAAGTTAACTTTTTACGGTCAATGTTCATGTTTCTTAAATTTGCTCTTTTGATCTTTTCATGAGAAGAGATTTTTTTATGGGCATTTCGGAGCCCCATAAATTTTCAATTTATTTGGGATAAAAATTAACATTTATCGATTTGCCTACTTTGGATAGTAGGAAACAAATATACCCTATTTCGAATACTTGGATTGATCCTAATTAACGGTCCGATAAATCGGTGCTCGTTTAGTGTAAAGAATGCAGCCCCATACCGCTCTGAACTGAATATTTTATAATTCTGAACCAGAAATTCCGAACTACTAACAAATTCCTAGTAACACTCAAGGTAACGTCAACTGCAATAGCTATATCAGAGAAGTAATAAGATTACACTGGGTGATAAAGTTCGGACTAAACGCTATTCACCCATAGCTATCAATACACATGTATGATTTTGGCAAACTGAATTTCGCTTTTCCAATTGAGGGACATGTCACGCGAGTTCGCTAAATAATCGCAATTACTAGCTTCTGTTCGACAGGGAAATCCAATCTGATCTACTGAGTGTTCTACCTGGTTGTGATTCCCTATTTCAAAATTTATTAGAGTTTCATCTGTGGAAGTCGGGCTACCTCCTGCCGCTCCACCTCCTCCCAGTTTTAATTGATTGCAGGACTAGGGATTTTGTGTATTGCTTTGGCGTGTTTATTTACACAAATATCCCGTCCATCGCAGGCCGTCTTGCACTTATTTTAGCCAACTAACCGCCATGGANGTCGGCTACTGTCCTCACCGCCATTCGGTTATAAGATACGTGCGAATTGATGCGCGTACCTGTAACATGACCGTCAGCTCCTAGTCCTTTTTGGTTTTATGTACGCGTAATGTGGTTTCACTGTGATCGCCTTCTACCGATTCGGCTATCGGTACCGGTAGTTCAAATACAATACCGAGTTGTGAACGTGCTCGTTTTCATTGATCCGAATCACCGGATAAGAAGCACTGAAAACGAGCTTGTTTGTCACTTTACATTCTATTTGAAATGAGCTATGTTCAGATAGTTTAGACAAGTAGAAGACCCCGTGGGGCCTGCATCCTTTGGTTCGCCGCAGCAGCATGCTATTATGCTCACTGTGTTAGGAGTTACTAGCTCAGAATTTGAACTACATTAGCCCACTTCACAGAAGTGTAACTTGACGGCTCAATTTATGTGGATGTTTGAATTGCATTTTTGAAGAAAAGAAAAATCTTGGATAAGTGTGTTACTCGCAGCCTATTGGATGACGCATACCCTGGAACGACGCTTACATTTTCAGGATAACTGTGGTCAGTCAAGCTTCACGGTGACATCAGCAAAGCGCGTGCGTCCCACAGATTCTGGTCTGCATACCATAGGTAGATTGTACCAGCCAATGAGAACCAGTGCGGCCCAGACAGAAGTTGAACTAGAACGCGATTGGCAGAGGCCTGGATAACGAATTAGCTCGTTTTGTACATATTATTTAATCCTCCTTATTTCCTTCAGTAAACGAACTACAAATCCTGTGGCCTTTTTTCTTCGCGTCTAGGTGACGTGGGATATTGTGTGCAAGCGCCAGTGTGATCAAGTGCTTACGTGACGTTCGTGACTGCTAATCAGTGATTCGTATTCCGTGATTCGTGTTCACTGCGTGCTACTACTACCATTACAATCACTACCAATACAATCATTCAACGAAAGAAAATAACATAGCTTGATTTATTCTGGATAAGAATTGGCCGATAAACGCCAGTTACCAGAATGGGTGTATCTTTTGAATGAATCACAGGCGCGTCATGAATGGCGTTCAAAACAATGCATTTGGCATGGATTTATCATCGCCAGATCTGGTGGCACGATGAGCTGCGATTGGGAAAGATGATAAAAGACAGCGAGGGAGAGATTAATTGTCAGACAGTAATTTTTCTCAAACATCGAGCATTAGTGTGACTAAATATTTGAGATTATGATTATCTACTATGTGTGAATTGGGTTTTAGACAATTTTAGTAAAGAAGTCAAAAACACAGGTCTGCAGAATTTGTCCTGGATGATTTTGCTGCATCTGCGCAGTGTTTTATGGGATCAAAAATATATTTTCAGAGTCATGAGCAGAGAGAGAGAGAGAGTGAGATTGCGATCAGTATAACTCCCCAAACACGTTTATTGATACCAAGCTTGCTCAAGAGTGATAAGACATTCACGTCGTTTACACGGTTGGGGATGGCGCATGTTAATGGCTAGTGCCTCGGCGCATTTCACAGTCCCGGTGTTGTTTTTGTTGTTGGGGGTTCAAAACGCATCTCACCGCATGACAATGATTCAACTCGACCAGGTGTTGTGTGGTGGAAGAACTGAGTACCTCACGAGTCATCGGTGACATCAGACGTCTTTTCTGAATCCATAGCGTAATGTGTTCGATCATTTGATAACGTATTTACCTCTCCTTTCTCGCCTTATACGATGTCCGAGTACTCGAATGTCAGTTGATAGATAAAATTAGATTTGGCTCGGAGAGACAGCGATTCTTTCACCGAGATTGTTGGAAACTGGCCGGTTATGAGAACAACAATGTGTTCTAGGTGCACCTAATAAGCGATTCTAGGCTCTTGGTAACCAGCCAGCTGATATCGTCAACATTGATGGGCAGTGGCAGGACCCCTCTCATCTTGTCTGCACTTGGTGTCTATTCCCGTGTAGAGTTCACTTCGTAGTGCTTTAAGATGAACCATTCTTGATGCCCGCTTGATTGTGAAACTTCTATTCCTGTCGCATTTGTCATCCGGGGTTTGCTTTATCACAGCACTGATCAGTCCGTTTCACATGCTGCTGATTCTAGTTTATTACTGGTCTGTCCACTCGCGGAAGGTTTCACATTTGTTTCATCTAACAAGTTAGACTACTTATGAGTAGTACAATCATTGTCTTCATAAATCATGTAATGTTTTCTACCTCGGTCACAAACAATCAAAAACATGCGGAATGCTAAACGTGCCGCAGTTGTCGGTATTAGGACTGTAATGCCACTATAACTGAAACTGTATTACACTTTCATGCGCGTTTTGATTTGAACCACAGTGCGCGAGCACCGCGAGTTTACTTACCTCTTCGGTCAGACGCGGCGGAGCCGGTTTCGTTTTTCTTTGTTTGATTCTTAAAGAATGAGTGAGTAGCTGGGCGAAAAAAAGAGAACGAAGTCATTTTTACTCTCAATCAGTGAATTAAAAACCAAGCAAAAAGTTTATGGTAAAAATACGCCTTCGTCTGTATGGCAAATTATGAATGCAAATGTTTGAACCAAGTAGTCCCACAAGTAGTTACCAAGACATTTAAAAGGAGTGAATCCTAAGTATGCAGTATGATGTGTCTTCGGGATTTCCGTATTTATATGCCTCCATTAGATATTTTACTTTAGCCTGTATGTTTTGAAACAATTAGGATTTTCTTGTATTTTGTCATGCATCTCGTAGCGTGCTCGCTTGATTCAAGGTTGATCCAGTATGTCTTTCTAAATCGCTCATACTCCATAGATAGTCCTAATGCCTTTCATTTTATCATGCACTTTTCTCTGCATGATATCTTGATTTTATCGTAACAAACTGTCCATTTGCCTACTGGACGCTCCACCGCACTCACTCGAATATTGAACCGTTACTGGGGTCACTTCCAGTGGTATTCCCCTGTATCTCGATCGCCCGAGATCCCGTCCCTGCCAATCTGGTCCTGATGAATTAAACGTGTCTATGCTAGGACCGAATAAAATTACATCGGCATAAAAATCTAAATAAATGACTGAATAACAATTAACATAAAAATACAAAATAAAACACTGAGTGCCGCGGACTGTACAGTGCCACTTATCCTTGAAAGATTTCGCAAGTACAATGCAGCCGCTTTCTCTGTTGTTCCTGTTTTTCCAGCGATCATCAACGGTGCTATTCGGTTGGATTCTCCACGGTTCTGACTCAAACACGATCAGCAGTTTATCCGATGCAGTACCCGCTTCAGTCAGCTGAAGTGGATTTCCAATGGCCTGTTACACATCAACGCTTGATAGTAAAAAAGCATATCTGTTAATGCTTGGTACGCATCGAAATTTGGAAGGAACTCTAAATGCGGTGGAAGTTTGTTTGTTGTCTGATAAGGAGTAGTGGACAGCTGTTTCGTGCTGTTAGGGACTCGTCAATAGTGTATGCCCTCGGTGTCCCAATTATTTCTCGCACCACACTGATCAGGAGTCCAAAACAGAACGAAACAGCTGTCAAGGACTCTTTGTCGGTCATCACAAAGGTGTTCATCGCAGGTAACTGGTGCGGGTAATTAACGACCTCCAAAGGAGTGAAAAACCTACACCCAAGACCATCATCAACAGTGCATGGTACCTCTGAACAACCGAGATTGATACTATAAACTGACTAAGCCATTCGCAGAAGATAATAACCGCCGACCGTGTAATATAGGAGAAAGGGCTTGAATTCCCGACCCGAATGTTCGCGGTTCGAGTCCTGACACGGACACAGAATGTAAGCACTGCTGCAGCGCTTGTGAATGCAAAACCATTTTGCTGTTTGTCTTTTCATTTGAGATTTTTACGCTCAGGAGTATCGCGTGTTATACGGAAGCACTGAATCTGTACCAGATGTGCCAAATGGTATGAAGATACGAGCACATCATTTAGGCCCTCTCCAATCAATATGTGGTGCAACATGTGACACCCTCACCTTCTCATTTCTCACCCAAGCTTTGGACCATCAAAATTTGTAGAAACCTAATTTTCTTCAACATCCGTTGACTTCAGAATAATCCGATACAGTGTGAATTAAGTTTGTGTCTCGCGGCTACGGGACTACGGATTGTGACTAAAGCATTGAGGTTTGAGGTAAAGGAATGTGGTTCAAAGCTAAAGGATTGCGGGTTTTTGGCTAAAGCATTCCCGGTTTTGGTCAAAGGAATGTAGGTTTAAGCTAAAGCATTGTCTTTTTTGGCTAAAGCTTGATGGGAAACGGTGTAGCACTCTTTGCGGGTTATCGAAAAGATATTGATCGCATTTAACTGGTGCGGGGAATTAATGATTTTCAAGGGAGCGAAACCCACACACAAGTTTATTGTCCACGGTGACTGGTGTCTGTGTGAAATCAAACCAAATGAGCTAATCCAAATTCATTCTCCGTCTGAATTGGAAAAAACTGTTTTTGTGATCCATACATACATCGGCGGATCACCAATATTTTTAAAATACCGTGTTACGTGTGCAACAAAATTTGTTTCTTTTCAGAGTCCGAGGCAGCTTATTCAATAAACTTACATGTTGGTTTTGCGACAAGACGACTGAGTAAATCCAGATAATTGTTGATTGTGCGAACCGATTCTGATTTGGAGACATATAGATAGAGGGAGAGAGAGAAATAAATGTGGAGTGAATTCCCTACTGAAATCGTGAAACGTTTTCTGTTGCGACTGCTTGTAGATCGAACAGAGGAAGGGAGCGGTAAGCAAAATGATACCTATGGAAGATGATGATGAACTTAGTTCGATGACTACGCGACGCCCAACTGAACGCAGTTGAGAACGGTCTGATAAACTACTATCAAAATATATCAGAATAGTGTGAGGCAGCTTGCTTCAGAATACATCATACAATTCACCAAGTCTAATGGATCATCTGTTCTGCCTTCCATCAACTCTTCACTTCAACTCATAAGGTTTCACTTCAAAATATGTCGAATTTCTTGACGTTCAGAGCAATTGTGAATCCAGAAAAACGACAAGTTTGGAAGAACTGCATATCTGTTCATGCTTGCTTGCTTCAAGTCAAGTCAAGTCAGTAGTAGCTTTATGCACCCGGATGGGTGTATTTTCAGCAATTACACCATATTTGTGGATCCAAATTTACAAAATCGTACACAGTGAACACAATAAAAGCAGTAGATATTGTGTTTCTCAATAAAGCAAGCAATTGCTTGCTTCCACCGGGACGAGGCCATCGATGCAATTAATTGTGCTCAGCCGGCTACGTGAAATCCAATTTGATTTGCCGGTGGTTGGACGGGAAATAGACTTGGTGTCATGTAGGACAATGCAAATCATGTTGGCCAACTACCTTTTCCTAGTCCGAAAGAAATCAGAATTATCTATCTGATCCAATTCAAGCCATTGTCTGTGTGCTCTTCAGATACCGCTCCGAATAGTTAGGTATAAACATTTCGTTCTGATGAATACATTAAATGGTCTCGGTGTCATTTGATCCGCGGGAGCTCTACCAGCAGTAGTTTAGTGGTTCTATCCTCTGAGATAATGCCAACCAAAGGGCAAGCGTTAAACTTTACGGACAACGAACATTAGCTTATTATTATCGACCAATCAGAAGATGTACGGTACAACCGGAAGCTGTTTGACAAAGATAAAGCAACCAGGCGATTGGTGAATGCTTATTTACCCAATGACGTTTCTTCCTATATATTATTTAATCCCATTGACTTATCTCAATAAATTAACAGGTAATTCTTTGGCTGTCTGTATGCACCTCTGTACCGGGAGATTCCGGCATACGTTTACCGGTACGATTCCGTGTTTCAGCTACGGTCGTGATGCGTGATTCGTGCCTATTCCGATTACAGAAATCACACTGTCATTCAGTTGCATTTCAGTGCCATCCTGTACTTAACTAAAATAAAAGTACGATAAAAAACATGTCTAACTTTCTTTGTTTTATCATCCCATTTTAAACATGCTTTTCAGAGTTTTTGAGCCATCTGTCAATACCATGGGACTCCGGACTAGGTTGGGATTCTACACTGTTGGATACGTCAATCTTCTATTGAATTCATTCTTCTCCATTGGTTTTATTCTTCCTAAACCTTTTCCAAAAAAGCCTCAATTAAGACGGTCGTAGATGCCTTGGATTGTGACCGCAACTCGCCAAATCCTTCTATATGGTCAAGAATCTCAAACAGCATTTGCTGGGGAACCCTTGCTCCTTGCTTGAAAGCGGCAGGAGTGTTTCCTCCCACCAATGCAAAAACGAGAAAGCCAACATCCGGGTCGGTTAACCACTGGCAATTCGACTAGGGGAGTTACTTAAAAACCCAGGTTCCACATCAGCCAAGAACAGGCCTATGAACGGCACCCACCCACAACTTCCCGGTTATGGCAGTGGTAGCCAACTCAGTTTGGCATCGAGGCGTATTGGTCACGTTGGATCCCATCCAAAGAAAGTATCATTTCGATTAACTGAACAGTGGGTCCTATTGGATTGCAGTTTTCCCACACCGGTTAGCTGTCTTGGGGGTCGGGCTTTGACTACCTGAGGGCTCCGTTTGTAACTGGGAAGTATTCCGACCAATTTCAAAGCATAGACCGATGTCTGTTCATCGCACAGAGCATTGTACCGCAACATTTTCGGTGCACAGCCTTCGCTGAAATGTTTTCCAAATTAAAAGACGGTAGCCTCTTTTTTGTCCCACAAAGGAGTCGAGTATTTGCGAGTGAGTGATGGTTCGTCCAAAACACGATTTACAACATATTTCGTGTGATTTAAAACATCACAACCGGATATATGCCTTTCGATTGCTTTCGATCGTTCGATAAATCACAGTCAAACGCCGATCCAGTGATTTAGCTTTGCTTACCACTAATACTACTACTACTACTACTACTACAAATGATAATAATAATAGTTCACAAAAAGGGGAAGAATATAAATTACTGATAGGAGATAAGCTTTTCGAAACACAAACGTACGTTTATTGATTTGTGTATTGTACTCGATCAGCTTTTTCAAAGCCTCCATTTCATATGGTTCACCTGTGAAGGGGACATACAAATAAAACTCAAGTGAACGGTGATTTGGGGACTCAATCGAGTATTTTGTGTAACGTTTGCAAGCATTGGAGCTTACCTTTCAGCTAAAAAAACATACGGATCAACCGTCAGAAAGTACATATTGAGAGGGGAGAAAATGTTTACGGATATGGGGAAATTTTATGGTCCAAGGTTAAGACAAAGTTCACTTATTGTCCGCTCTTTGTTTGAGTGGACGAGTAAGATATCGTATAAACGAATTCCGGTAGGCGGGAATTCGAGATAAAACTTGGCAGAATTGGGAGCGAGTGGAGGCATGGGAATGACAACGTGTCAGTTCCGTGTGCAATGGGTGGTCCGGATCTGTGAAAATCCTCTCCCAAAATTTCACACCAGAATTTGTATGATACACTGAAAGTTTTGCACCTAAAGCATTAGAACACAAGTTCGAAGGCCTTCGAACTTGTGTTCTGATTTTACAATGGGATTATTCTGGAATTTGAAAAATAACAGTCTAACTCATTCACAAGAATCGTAGCCATTGGAATTTTTTCTATTCAGATCGGGTCAGAAGTTTTTCAATTGTCATGGATAAATATATACGGATGTGCTTACACGGGGAACAAGAATGCGTGTCGGACAACTGACTTACTTGTTGTGATGCCTACAAGGCCGAAAGCCAAATCCATGGCTGAATTATGACGTTTCATGATTGCTGACAAGGACAAACACGAAATGAAATGGGACTCAATCTCAAAAGGCAGTAATAGATAGCACAGTAAACATTTTTTACGAAATGTGTATACGGGTTTACCTTTTAAGTGACCTGAGGTACGTGACCGTGTTAACAACGGGCGTTGCTATTTATTTCACAAACAACTACCGGCTGCTAGGAACAGAGTCAACAGACATCACAGTTATACCGGATTTGATGAACAACCAGGTGTTGGGGTTCACGCAATATAGCGATTCAAACCAAGATAGCATATAAATTTTAACAAATAATGAAACAAAAAATTCTGTTTAAACCGGATCATATCTTTGTTCTTTTCATAGCTCATGTACTTGTTATTTCACTCCAGAGGGAAATATTTGTGCCCTTAATTATGATAATCATCTCAAACATTTCGTGCATCATTGAACGCTGGCTACGTTGACCACGGATTGCACCTTGGTTATTTTTGTACCAGATATTTATTCCAGTTGTCGCTCATGTCATCCCACCCACCCCGGATTTATGTCAGAAGATTTTGCTTGGATTTTGTCAACAGAGACAACAGCAGACACACCAGTCTGTACTCCAAATGAATAAACTTTATTTCAGATCCTGAATGCAAAGTAAAACTCTACTACTATAACATGAAAATCTACATCGCCACTTCAATTGTAGCTAGGTACCTGTTACCTTCCCATCGGATTATGTTAGAAAAGCGACACTTCTGGTAATCACCAAGCATCACTGAATGGAAAAAGTGTCCATGCTTAAGAACCTGGAATGATTTCCAATTTCAATGCGATAGAAATGTTTGTGATAACCGACAAAGAGCACAGAACAGCTGTTTCTCCCTGTTTGAGACTCGTCGGCAGTGCGTAATTTTTGCGTCCCTGTCAAGACTCAAACCGTGAACCTGCCGGTAGGGAATTCAATCAGCGACCCCTGAGCTACATGGTCGACAGTCGACGAAAAGACAAAAGGTACGCACCGCTGACGAGTCCAAAAGAGGACGAAACAGCTGTCCAGTGCTTTTTGTCGGTTTTCACAAACATTTCCATCGCAACTGAATGCTTATACCTCGTGGGGAATTGACGATCTTCCAAGAAGTTGAACTCACACTCAAGACCATCAAGAGTGTCTGGTGCCTCTGAACAACCAAATGGGCTAATCCAAACGAGTTTCCCTAGGCATCTTTTTCAATTTCGGGTCACAAACAAGTGATACGTATTTGGAATAGCCTGAAGAACGCAATGTGTATTATTTAGACTTACTTGACATATACGATTGAACATATCCCTTCACCTCATCCAGTACCCACTCGGAGACAACACGCTCTGAAATGTGACCCATCAATAGCAGGTTATTCTCATAGATATGTTATATTTCTACCTTAATTAAACGTGGAAACATGATAAAACTGGAAATGCTGATTTGATTAATCGGTTGATGGACAACTTGCGATCAATTAATTGCCAATCAGGAATTTGCCCCGTAAATTTATAAATATTCCTTTTCGCCTGTTCGCTGAGCTTGACAATTTGTTTGAAAACGTTTCATCACCAGCCGAGGTGTCATCCGACCGAGCTATGGGAACCGATTTTCAGTATATGGATATGTGCATTTCAAACAAAACTACAGAGTGGCGAATAAGCTCGTTATCGGAGATTCGTATTCATGCCAATACATCTCAATATATATATATATATATCACTACTTTTGGATAAAATTCTCATGGAAAAATAAAATGAAATAAAATATTACTTGAAACAATTTCATCGTGAGACTGGAAATGGGGTTCACCACGTTCACATGTTTGTTTTTCGACTCATCCGATCATCGAGATTATTCGTGATACCGTGTGCTTGGAGGGTGGGCCAAGGAAGATTTAACTCTTGCACAGATTGCTTTTGGGTACAGAGAGGGAGCTTGAGAAGACGAATGCCGTGGCCAGAATTCAATAGTAAACCGGCCTTGATAATCGCCCACAAACTTTATACATGAGGCGGAAAGCCCCAGCCACGTTCACAGTGTGATTTGTTTCAGCTAGGTGTGAACACACTGCACTGGTGAGTGACTTAATCGTTCCGGTGTTCAGCCACGCGGAACGGTGTTCACGAATCCGTTCGGACAATCGCCTGATTGTGCGGTCTATGTGCGTTGATCTATGGAAGGAGTATACACAGAATGAGACCGCAGAGACTAGAACTTTGTTCTTCAGTCGCAAACACCCAATTGGCTCTGACGTGAACAACACATTTTGCTTGGATGTACAAAAAGTCTTATCGATTGCCTTGGGTAATCGTCCTTGTATATTACAATACATGTGACAGGAATGTATCTTGTGAATCACTTTTTGCTCACTTTTTCCGAGCTCACATCCATTTCGAACGAAAAAGCATATACCGGTTGCCGAAAATGCTCTCGTCCATTTAAGCAGGTCAAGCAAGATACGCACAGTGTGATCTGCTGGTGAGATAATCTCGTGCTTGCCGCAGTCCAGTTTGCCTTGTGGATCTTTAAATCAGTGCGATGTTCACTGAACAATTTTATAAGGTATCCTTCATTATCAAATAACCCCAATGTGTGCCCAGTTGAACTTCTTCGTATTTGATTGAGTTAAACCGGTTTGATCTGATTCGATTAAATTATGACGGTTCGACGGGTCGATATGAAGAGATTTGAATTGAGACGAGAACTGATGGCCCAATCCGTGTAGTAAATAGAAGAGCAAGCTCCGTTTCAATAGATGCCGTTCCAGGTGGAGAACTGAACAGCGAAGTAGAATCATGTAAAGAATAGCTCTTGAGGAATAGCTTTTATCTAATAGCATTCCTCACCTGCTTTTGGAACTGATGCTTAATCAATATGAAGCATGCTATTTTAGTTATAGTTGGTATGAATAGGTCGTTATGATTGCGTGAATCACTTACGGACTGATTTTGTCGATATCAGGGACATTTTGTGAAGATAGTGTTCCGTTACTTCTTCAGCGCCTGCGAAGTGGAATGGAAGAGAAACCCAGGTAATTCTGCGGTGTTCATAAATCATCTTCTTTTGCATTTATATGATTAAAAAAACGCATTGTGCAAACGTTCCACGGTTATTGTAGACGTTTCTATTATTGTGATTTGACTGAATACAGATGCACTGTGGCTTTATGCATCAAAACCAAACCACGGAAATTTGAAACCGATTAGTTTTAGGGTGTCATTCATGACTACTTTTCGATTGAGTTCCAAACTGGGGTCTAACAGCTCAATTCAAAGACCCAAACTATTGAATCACGTGATGACAGTAATTTGGAACTATGAGGACAGTAGTCGTCGCGTGAGGCTGGTGAAGTGAAACCGAGTTCAAATCCACGTTTGTACTGTCCGTTCTACGGTGGATGGAAAATAATCTTATTCGATTCCTTCTTCTGCTGAGTGCACGATTGGCACCTATACTTTTCAGCCTTGCTTTTGTCTGACAGTCCACTTCAATTCCCCCTGAGTTTGTTCCGTCCGACAAATGAAACAAGGACTCACGGTGTCCGTTCGATCCGTCGAATGAATTTTAGTTATTTAGTGTTGACATCATTTCTATTGTTCAAATTGTGTTTCTGGTAGATTTAGGTGTTTCTTTCAATTGTGAAAGGTATAATGTTCTGGATGGGATTTGAACCCATGCACGTAATTTCCATATTTGTTTCGCAATACCTCTCATTCATGATGCTGTAATTCATGTAATACTCCCAGGTGGGACTTGAAGCGTCGGGGATTTTATGACATATTTGTGTGATGAACAGTAGATCCCATGGTGACGAAGACCTGATGATCAAGGCCAGCTGTCTAAATCCTCTAACTTACAGGCTCAGCTAGTTTTGGCCTGGTATGGAACCGGACGAGAGTGAAGCTGTCTACCACCAAAGTTGGGTCGCGGTGGTGAGGCTCCAATAACAGGGTCCAAAGCATCCCGCTGGCACAGACTAAATCACTGCACCACTACTCTGTATACGGAGAACCACGAACACTGTGTTGAATCGATCCCACCTCAAGCTATCGACTTATTGATCGGTAATTCTTAAATGCACATTCACATCACTGTCCTGTTGCTACCTATATATTGCCGATTCGATCCTCCGCATGCATCCGTGTATAAGACACTGGACTCGACAACCGTTTCGCATACATATGGACCATTGGCTTGTGTGATTCACTAGGCCGCCCTCTGTGTTGTCTCCTCGGTGCTTGCTCGTGCTTGAATAACCCTGACAACTGTGTGAACACACACACACACAGTACCATGCACTCACTCTGTCAGTTTACGATACTTGCTACTGAGAACCGTTCTCAACCACCACACTTCACTCTAGGTCAGTTCCCACTGTTGACTATCACAGATGCATGTAGTCACGCTTGAAAGTGTAACTATACCATTTCATTCAGAGTTACTTGCGAGCAGTTATGTGGGATAATTAGTATTTATTGAATTGAACCGACTGTCCTTCGGACTTCAACTTTACGCATGATCCAATGGTCATCTATTAACCATCAACACTCGGAAGCACTAGATTCGAGTTTCGGTCTTATTAAATCTCATCAGTAGTGCATATCCACCGTTCCGTCTGGGATGTGAACTCTTTGGCCTGGACAGCAAAATAAAGAAGACAGTTGGCTCCGCTCGAAAACCTCCCACTGACTGACCATCATTGAAAACGACATATGAAAGATCATGAATTGGTGATTCGATCTACCCTATTGTGCGCTGGTGGGCGCATAGGTTGAACACTCTCCTTCCATGCGTTAGGTCTGGGATTCAAACCCCGAACGGGGAGGTTTATGGATATGCACTATCTCGCTTGATTACTGCTTTGGCGCGTGTTTGCGTGCTCGTGACTTGTACATTCTGCAACATGATGTGATGTCAATAGACATCACAGTTTCCTTTGTTTCTGTCGAACCAGATAGTGTCACAATTTGGGGTTTACAGGTTGTAAACCATTGTAATCTCTACAACAGCATTAAACTTCTGTAGTGAAACATAGTTTTTGTTGCCAGATAGAGTATCTTATGCATGTCAATCCACATGGACCATTGCAGCCTGTGAAGTCAGGTCACAGCTGGTAGTTTTAGCCTGCAATTTCGCAGAAGACAGACAAATGAGAACCGGATAAGAATGGAGCAGGTGAAACAAACCACGTTCTCACTGACCGGAGCAGACTTGCTTCCAAGAGTCCAAAATTGCCGAGAATTCTTCCATCCGGTTATCTTTGTCCTCTACAGTGAAAAAGAAAACGAAATTTGGAAACGGTCATTGTTATTGTCTCATATTCTTTCACTGGTACTGAGTGTGTGTGTGATGTTTCTGATGTTTCATCTACAAATCTTCCTCGAGGCTACACTCCGACTCACTCGGCCATAGGGCAGCACTATCAGACTCGAAGGTATAATCTGCACGTCACATTCCAGGCCACCCGTCTTCCCGAGTATATCGTGAGCGACTAACTCGGTTCATATCCGAGGTCAAGAACTCTGAGTTTTTGAACTCCAGTCTCCTAAGCAGATCCGAGCCGATGTGCAGATGGGTCACGAAATCGACCTTTTCAAAGGTAATTTCGTCGTGTATATAACAATTGAAGAGTGAACTGATAATCTAGGAAGCACTGGGCAACTGCTTCGAACTAGTTGGAGGATCACGTCATCAGTGCGCCAATCCATCGATCCAACTGGGGATCGAACCCGAGACCTGACGGGCAGAACGCAAGCGTACTACCCACTCGGCCACCGGGTAAGTGATCAGACCGATTTTTCGCTTCAATTTACACGATATAGCACAACCCATCTTTGCGAGCTTGTTGCAGGCCACAAACCTCGCTCATTTCAGTACTAGTTTCCGGGTTATGACTCGGCTGGAAACTTTCACAATGTGGTTGAAATCGAACTTTGGCTGATAGGGTGGCTTGATGCACATCGTGACTTTGAACGATGAGCTCTAATGGTGCCGTGAATCACGTCCATGCGTACACAATCGAGGACAATCCAATGCATAATGAATTATTACTTGCTTAGTATTTACCTACTAATCACGCTGGTTTGTGTTATGGACGATCTAAAAGATTAGATTCGCTTGAAACGGAGAAAAACGTTCATGTGAATGGGACAGTCTGATGCGTTCATCTCTAGCCAACAACAAATCGCGGGACAGAAACAAGCATGCACAGTTTCCGTGCTTCCAAAATTGGCCAGTGTCAACTGAAACATTAACTCTAAATTGAGGATATTCACATAAAATGACAAAACTGGTTCTGAACTTACCTGGTTGCTGTTTTAAATAATCGGCCATTGTCTTGAAGGCCTTCTCATTCAAATGCTCAATATCTGGAATGCGAAATCGATGGGGATAGGACATGAGTTCACGGATACATGAATATTGTCGAAATATTTATCAGCTCACTGGGCGTACGAGGCTTTTAAACAGGAACCAGGTGATCAGCTCGAAACCCATCACACACTGGTAGTGCCACCGCTGTTTGATCACCATTGCTTATTTGTTGCGTTATACCACAACTTATTCACAGTTAACGTTCTTTGGTGAAGGTATCCCCCAATCCAAAACCCGGTGACGCACCTGGTAGCATTTAGCTGCGCTTGACCCGAGGGTATTTAGGGGCAGGCGAACTGGAGCGCTATATTAATAAACACTAACTTGACTGGTATGATTCACCTTAGCTATGTACTTGACTCACCCAAAATGAATTGTTTAGTATGAGACGTCACCGAATTGATGGCCACTTTGAGAATTCCCGAAACTAGGAAAAAGAAAGAAATGGAGCATTAAACTGTGGCTGTCGAGTTTTTCAAACAGAATAAATAAACACATTTTCGAAGATGAACAACAAAAGCGTGAACGCGGGATTAAGCTGTGCCCTTCAGTTCAAACGAGGAAATCGATGGACCAACTGGTACACTCACCACTTTCACTGTCGTCGGACGCATCTGCCAATAGATGGTGTCAAAAAATATACTTTGAAAGGTGAAGAAGTAAGAAGACAAAAAGAGATGGGCATATACTTTAAAGAAAAAAAGGAGTATTGATACGTTTGGTCACGTCACGGTACACAAAATGTGTTTAGCAATGATGTGGAATGATTGTAGCTCAGGATGCGGATGTTGCAGTGTTTTCCAAGCTCGAAGTGTTGTTCGCACATGTTTCTCTAACCGGGATAGGCAATATCATCAGGCTAATAAACGTCTGCGAACAAAACTTCGAGCTCGCAGAAAACACCAACATCAAAATAACTGGAGTTCCTGAAAGACGACCACATAAGGTATAATGACCAGCACTTACCTTCCGTCAATTTGGGAGGTTTATCGCTTTGACTAAATGTTGTTGCTGGTGGGAAAAAAACACGCGAAAACAAGATAATTAAAGTGTATGAATCGAACGTGAACATGTATGATGGGATAATATTGGGACGCGAGTCATCAAAAAGGAGTTTGACAATCGTGACTGCCCGCCAAAAACTTCAAGGCACTAGACAGCGAGTTTGTTCCTGTTGGCACAAGTTTGTTAACCGTATCTTTTTGACCTCTCTATCGGATATCGGACCAATCGGTGCGTCAGCATGAAGGAACCAACGAAAGAATGTTTGAATCAAACATTTTTGTGTTCTTTAAAGTTATTCGACCTCCCTCCCGGTCAACTCTTTCGTTTTGAACTGATCTATTTGTCTCGGAGTCACATGAACGTAACCATGAATTGAGAAGTAGTTACTCGTAATTGTTTCCGGCGTAGATAACGGATACGATCACCAAAATAAAGGGTATAAAACAACTCAGGTCATTTTAATCGGAGCTGATCACGTGTTCCGTGATGATTGAACTGACGTGATTTCCACTGTATCCGATACTCCAATTGTTATCAATTATTCTGCATATAATTCATCATATTGTGATTTGGCTGCCAATCGATTGGTCATCAGGTAATGTAGTCCTGTTCAGCCGGATTATTCCTTTTACTTCCTTTAGTTCTTCCCATTATCACTAACTTGCATGAATTCCGTTTACTCAAGTGTATGGTTGACTGAATGAACTAAGGATTGTGCATGAACCTTAAGTCCGAAGGATAATCAACTCAAATCGATATGCTTTGGAAATCTGGAACGGTCGTTTTTCCCATTTGATAAATAATGTATCACTACGTGAATTAAGTCGTTAGCACGAATGATGCATCCACGCGATCCGAAATGAACTTGTCCGACACGAAAGTTTATGCTGATTTAAGTTCGATGGCAATGTTTGTGATAACCGACAAAGAGCACAGAACAGCTGTTTCTCCCTGTTTGAGACTCGTCGGCAGTGCGTAATTTTTGTGTCCCTGTCAAGACTCAAACCGTGAACCTGCCGGTCGGGAATTCAAACAGCGACCTCTGAGCTACATGATCGACAGTCGACGAAAAGACAAAAGGTACGCACCGCTGACGAGTCCAAAAGAGGACGAAACAGCTGTCCAGTGCTTTTTGTCGGTTTTCACAAACATTTCCATCGTAATTGAATGCGTTTATCTCGTGGGGAATTGACGATTTCCCAACGTCAACACTTCGTGGTGTGGCAAGTCAGATACTGTTTACTCATACTCAAGTAACGGTACTGATTGTTGATCTCTTCAGTGTTACCCTAAATTCTCCCGACATAGAAGTACCTTCGTAACGAACCTATATATTATTCCGTTTTGTACGCAAAATACCATCTCGACATTCTTCGACTCACTTTTACCTTTTCTTGTACCACTGCTTGAGGACAACCTGCACATTATTGTAGGCGATTTTAACCATGCTTCAACCCGGCCTCTCACTGCTTTTGATCTAACAGATTCATGCGTTTCACCGACCAGAGGTAACTCCGTTTTAGACAGAATTATAACAAATCATCCCGAATTCTTCTCTCTCCATCTCCGTGCACCCGTATCAACCAGTAATCATTGCCTGCTCCTTCTTAGACCTAAGATATATTCCCGTTCTGCCTTCTATTAATTTCGGCAAAGTAACCAAATCAAAACCCGTCTTCGAAACACGTCACGTTAATGTATTCTTCTCCTTCAAAGAGCCCTATCCCATGCAGTTTCATGGTTTTCACTTGTGCCTTCGCTGAACATCAATGTTAATCTTTTTGTTGATACAATCAAGTCCATCTTTGACATCTGTTGCCCGATGGAAACCCTATTTCTCTCCGACGGTCCTATTGCATCTCCGAAACTCAAAACATTTAGGAGACACAAGGAACATTTCTATAAATCCTGGAATTCATCAATGATCAGCTATATTTCCACCTTGGTATAAAAAGAAATCAAACGTATAGATACAACCTATGGGAATCAACTCCTATTCCACCAAAATAGGAGACACCTACGGAAAGGAATTCAGATCTTATGTGGAGCGAAGTCCGATGAATATACTGTGGACGTTGAGAGTATAAATCAGGCATTTGTGCATCCATGTAGCGGTCCTCCTGTTTCATGGATTCCGGAAGACGCAGCTAACATAACCCCGTTCTCGAGAGAAGAAATATTTAAACTCCTTCGCACAATTAAATCATCCACTGGTATTGGTCCTGACGGTTTATCTTCATCCCTTCTAAAGCATGGTGCCCTGGCTCTAACAAATGCTTTCACTTCTATCCTCAACACGTCACTTAGTTCATATTCAATTCCCGACTGCTGGAGACCCGTCACGATCATTCCTATTCCAAAACCGTGCAGATCCAGCACCCTGTCCAAACGTTTCCGTCCCATTGCTCTAGCGTCATGCGGTCTTAAATTGGCAAAACGTGCCGTTCTCAAACACCTTTCTGCTTCCTTCTGTACCCCTGAAGACCATCTCCAGTTCGCTCATAAATCAAACGGGTCCACTTTGGATGCTGTTGCCTCCCTCGTTCATCACGTTACCAAATCGTTAGACGCATCTGCGAAGTCTGTAAGATGTGTTTTCTTAGATTTTTCATCAGCTTTTGACTCTGTTCCACGTTCCGTCCTTCTTCGTAAACTGGAATCATTTAGCTCTTCCAAGCACCTACTGGCGTGGCTCGTCGACTACTTCACAAACAGAACTCAGCAGACTCGGCTCGATAGGAAAACGTCCAAACCACTGGTGAACAATTCGGGAGTACTACAGGGTGCCGTATTGTCTCCGTTCTTGTTTTCCACCTATATCAGTGATCTGTCTGCGAGTTCTCCAACCCAGTTATTTAAATATGCTGATGACGTAGCCCTCTGCCAAGCCATTTCTGTGCCTGAGGATCTTTTTCATTTCTCAAATAATCTATCGCGTATTCATGAATTTTCCGTTTGTTCTGGACTGTCTCTTAATGTATCCAAGTGCTTCGAATGCACTTTCTCCCTTTTTCGATCTGTTTATCCTCGTGATCCGTCTGTCATAAATACGGATCCCCTAATTAGAGTTGATTCTGTGAAGTATATGGGAGTTACAATTGAGAGTAACTTAAAGTAGACATCCCATATTTAAAACTCTGAACAGAAATTTCGCAAATTATCTTTTCAACTTCAAAGACTTAGGCAGTTTAATGCCAAGCAAAAAATCATTTCACTTTTGTTTATCAATGTGTTATCCCCGTTCATCTTTATTGTTCCCCGGTGGTTTTTGCTGGTCTACTAAAGAAAGACTTCAAAATTCCTCGTCGCGGTTTGTCGATCATCAGTCGTGTGTCTTTTATACCCGTTGACGAGCTATCTAAAAAACTGTGTGAACTTCACTTGTCCGCATGTGAAATATTTGCCCAGAAAATCATCGCTNGCTGAACGCAACCATCCTTTACATGGCAATTTATCTAAATGCTGCTCTCATACGTCTACACGTTCTTCTTATCGATTATTACCCTCTCGCATTAGTCTCTACAGAAATTCCCCAGTTCTCTATCTCGCCAGAATCCTTGTAAACCGAGAGTGCGCTTCCTCAGAATTTCGCAGTAACCTTAAAGGCTAAATATTTTACTTCTATCTTTCTTTTTATTGATCGAATGTGTAAACTTTTGACTGAGATGGGAACATTCTGTTCTCGCAAAAGTCTTTACAAATACAAGAAGTGAAACCCACACCCAAGACCACCAAGTGCCTGGTGCCTCTGAACAACCAACTGGGTTAATCCAAGCTTGCTACTCTAAATCGATCGAGTCACTCGCAGGACGTAATGTCCATCGACCGTATATATAGCTCCAGGGTAAGGTTTTGAAGTCCCGACCCGAATGTTCGCGGTTGGAGTCCTGACAGGGACAAAATGTACGCACTGCTGTCCAGTCCCAAACAGGGCAAAATAGCTGTCCGGGGTTCTTTAACGGTCATCACAAATATTTCCATTATAGCCGCTAACGAAAAATTTAATTAACCCTAGGTGGGAAAAATAATGACCACAAATTTCATTAAACATGTTTGGCTAAATCGATTTGTAAGCATCGCTGCTTTAGTGTTGCTGTGCTAGAAGAGTAATTTGTTAAAAGACAATAATTTTCAACATGCACGAAAACAGGTGGATAATGCTACTTGTAGAAATGAGAAATTATGTATTCGTTTCATGTACGGGTGAGAACAGATCTGTACCTAGGGAATACTACCTAATATCGGGACACAGTGCTGGATAACGAAAAGTAATTATTAACTAGGTTACTTGTTTACTACAAGCTAATGATATCAGTGAAGCAGTTCCGTTTGTATGATACAGTGAACTTCCCCCTTCTCCACTAATGCGAAAGTAGGAGACAGCTTAGTGAGGAGAAAACGAACGCCAAATCACCTCATTGATTTGCAATTAAATTAAAGGTGCTAGTTGTCATTGCTTCTCAACTCCAGTTCAATGCAAGTCACACTGTCCGCATGTTTGATTATACGTTCCTTTCCAATGAATCACATGATCTTTAAGAAGTTTAAAATGGAATTCGTTTCCTCGAAAACTGGAACCAGTTTGCACTGACCACGCACTAATAAGTCTGGTGTAGCAAGTGCCTTTGCATGATGCCGAAGGAGTGGTTAAAAAATGTAAATACATGTACCACGCACCTCCCTATTTAAATGGCCTTAGAATTTCACCGAAGCCCAAATCCAAATTACCGACTTATTAGGTGCATTGACTACTTGAATTATACGGATAAAGACAGATTGAGTGGAGTGATGTATACTTTGTCTTCAGCAATTTATTCATCATAATATGCGCACATTCCTACGTAAACGGAAACTGTATTGGATCGGTAGTTTCCAAATTATGCACTATACTTTTCTATATCGCCTCCCGCGTCTGCGGCTTGTAAATACACGCACATAGAAACAAACAAGCATTCAACTGTTCACAAATAGTTGAACTTCTCCGGTCAGGCCATTCTCATTTCGAATGACTTATATATGACTATATTTCAACATGCTATCTCTCTTTCTCCGACCGTTTATCTCTCAGAGTGGTCCATCGATCCGGAATATTTGTGTCATATTGTCACTTTAATTGTGTTTTGAATACTGAGGTGTGTGCGGCGGTCTCATATGCTCCATTCTATTATAATTAATACTATTGGACACAAACGTGTCCATGCGATCACTCAGCAGATTTCAGTCCAAAATATCACTTTAGTTGATCAGCTGTTTTGAAATATGTGAAAATTTGCTTTTGGACACGATCTTTACGGACCATTCAGCTCTACACAACTGTGTTGATTAGACGTGTGGCTAAACTCAGATCATGTGATCGTATCAGGCGAATGAAAATGATTACATTCACACGCACGGAACTTACGTTCTTTCCATTCCGAGAATGATTCGGCCGCTGGAGATGGAGGGTTTAGTAACTGCTCACGTTCAGAGTCGATCGGTCCTGATGGGTGTGTCGATGGGAATTAAAATTTATTATTATAGATCAGAGAATAATCTGGAAGTTTAAAAAAAGACAAATCTTTCGATTGTGTAAATTCCGTATTGCAGTTATTTTTAACGATATCCGTATAGGACAAAACGAACTGTGTACTACAGGGTATTGGTCGAAATCCGCCTTGCGCCGATGCAAGTCACTTTTGAGTGAAACTTTTTCATCCTTCATTTTGGCGGCGGTTTCATAGGTCAACACTTGAGATCATGTTAGTAGTACGTGTTTCATACTCTGAGGTGCAAATGTTCGTTTTGAAATCACAATTACTCATAAGTAGTAAATAAATAAGTAATAAAGTTATCTAGCCGTCAATAGTTTAATGGAAGATCGAAAAGCAACTGTAATCCAGGTATTTAAACCGAATTCCAGTCACGATGCTACTTAACAATGTCGTTAGGCCTCTGTTACCCAACACAATAAATCAGATCGTGCTGATCGGACACGGGTCAACGACTTAATGAATGATCGTGAGAATATATCAATCGTTTAATCGATGGCCTAAATCTAGGTCAAGTTGGTTCATCGACAAAGCGGCCTGGATGGATATTGATCAGCGTTTGCAAATGAAGAACTGTATTACGTGATTGGGTGATCAATGGGAAGCGGTTGACGAAAGCGTACGTGGCACTTGGCTAGTAGGNAGTAGGTTCATTTGGAAATGAGTATCATCACACACTTCTTGACGTGACAAGAAATTTCCATTGCGTCGGACTGGTTGTATATCGTGCCTCACTTCACGCACTTGCCACAATAACTGACCATATCTGGAGCCAAACATGGAACTCGGTTCTGATCTGGTTGGAAAAACTGTGACAGGCAAGTCTTCCACACCAGGGGTCCATGGTTCTAGTCCCGGACTGGATTTTCGAGTTGCAGTAAAACTGATAAGCCTTAAGAAAGGAATATAGCTCGAGTCCGTCGGGTCAGCTATAAATGGGCTGAGGATTAAGTGAGGTGTGTAATTCAATGCAGTGAAAAACCCACATTAACGAGGTAACGATGGTACCAATTCAAGTAAGCCTTAGGAATTTCCCAGTTTATAGATATACAGTCCCTGGGTATTTACTTTTTAGCATTATCTGAAAAACGATTTGTTCACCTGATTCGTGATTAGGTTATTTGAAGACAAACAACGTTGGCGATGGCGCATTTACTTTCTGTGTCGATTGTGGACGGTGAGCACTGAAACGTTCTTGAGAGTATTTCAGATTTTATAACACTCATTCCTATCGGGATTGACTTACAAATAATCACCTACGAATGAACAATGAGGTACGCGTGTGAGATAGAGTGCATTTTGAGTTTTTACAAATTATATTACTTCATGAGGAAATTAGCTTGTCATATCCTCTGCTAGTCAGTACAGTCCAAACATACGTGCCTATTATCAACCCCTCGGGAATGGAAGCACCAAATGGGTTTTCGATACGGAATTATCGGCGGATTAGGATTTGCGGAAAATCACCCCTGAAAGGAATTGGTCTCCTCTATCCAGCCCCAACCATCACTTTGTGTAGACTTACATGTAGACAATTGGAATAACGTTTATGACTGCCGTAGTATTTCGATATTCTGATTGATCATAGTAGTCTCATAGTATAATTTGAATACGTGAACACTCATCATTGAGATCAATTGTTTATCTGCAATTCTGTTCCAAACGTTTAATTACCATAACAGGGCATCGTCCCTTATCATCTGGCAAAGTAAGTGCAGACTATCAGACTACCGTGTTGTGAATCCATGTGTTTGTTTGTGTGGCCAGTTTAGTCTGTCCCATTTTGAAAGATCGCGTAAAGCCTTCTTATGTTCACTTTGTGTGGAAAATGGACTACGGAAAATTTTAATCACCTCGTGGCTCCATAGATTCTTCCGGTTTTGGCTCCTCAATCGATGTCCATTCGGGTATGTTTCGGGGAGTTTCGTACGCATCAATATCCGATCGTACGGAGCCTTTAAATTGGAAAAGAGGACACCATGAAAACCAGGAATATTTAGAACAGCTCATTTCCAAACCGACAAGGATTAAGAATATAAACAGCACAAAGAAAGTAGAGTAAATTTACTTTAGACTTGATTGATATGCATTTAAATACATGAAAGAGGCTTTCTCTTGTTTTTCGGAGAATAAATAGAATCGTGGAGCCATTTTATCTCACCGTTATCAGTATATATTCAAAATTGAACATCGTTTCCAATACATTTAGTGCTCGAATCAGATGAGTATTCTAGACAACTGAACTTCACACTCCGGGGACTCAAATGAATATTGATCATCTTGATGTGTTTTGGAGTACCATGATTTCAGAGTTCCACAGATGACAGTTTAGTTCAATTGAGATTCTTCAGTTTACCTTGCCTAGACTTTAATGACCGATCAAATAAAAACAAGGCGGTGATATGTTACTTTGCTTTTGTTCTGAATATGCAAAGCTATATCAGGGTGTCAATAATGACACGCATTATCTGACTGAATGTAAACCTCGTTTTCTGAGTACACTTCGTTCCATTCTGACATCTGGAATTCGCATCCAAACCTGCTTGGTAAAACAGGAAATTCCCACAATTAGTATCAAAGATTGACCTTCATCTCGATGACACTTTCTTCATTGTTGGAGGTGACTGAACGAAAGTTGAATTCTCTTCTGTAGCACATATCATCCTTCCAACATGCAATAACAGCTCAACCTCTAACCGTTGCACAACCAGGTGTGAACTGCAAGGCAGCAGGAAGTAATCCCTCACCTCAGCACTGAGGGGATCATTGACTTTAGTTTTCAAAGGCCATTCACATCGACCTTTGTCACAACACCGGAATCGGGCGTATGCGGCTTTTAAATAGGAGCCAGGTGATCAGCCTGAAACTCATCACACTCTGGTTGCAGCCAAGCAAACTAAGTTCAGCCTCAATCCAATGGAAATCAGTTTTATCGGGTGTCGGTCAAAATGCGCAGATCAGAACTGGCATCACATTGGAGATGAAATTCATCGATTCCGTGGGATAGTACAAAGAGATAAAAGCGTTAGATTCCTTGTTTAGTTCAACTACCCATCACTCTGAAGGACTGTAAAGGAAACGAGCCAAACACTTCCTCCGCCCTCACCGTGATCGTAAACAGTCCAAGAGCTGTGGAAACCAGTAGACGTCGTCCATACGTGCATTAGAATAGTGGAGGGTTCATTTGATTATATATATTTTTTTGTGATAAATTCGGTGTTAAAACAAAGCACTAACTGAACAAGTAGAAAGCACTGGACCGATATTTCGAACTGTTTCGGTATCCGGTAGGCAGTTAGGTCACACGGATGATGACACTCTACCCAGTCGAACTAATTGTCTAGTTCTTTTCAACGTTTCAGCTCACCCATCATGTGCACGACTAATTGATCATGTAGTCAAATCAAATCAAATCAAATCCTGCATTCCTTTCAGGTAAGAGGTAGTCAGGTTGTGAAGGCTTCCAACGGAGTCCTAACCCTGGGGTCTGGTGCTGAGACGAGCGAGGTCTGTTGACTGTAACAAGCTTATACATATGAGTTGTGCTTTATCGTGTATTTTCAAAATGAGAAAGGGTGGCCGATTGGTTGTGTTCTATCTGTGAGGTTCCGGGTTCGATCCTCAGTTGGATCGATAGATTCGCACGCACGACGAATACATCATCTCTATCGTTGTTTCCACTTTTCAAGTATGTGGTTTTCTATCACCCATAAGTATAAGAATACAGTTTATTTGCATTTCAAACTAAACGCAATCAAGCGATGTGAATTTCTCCATATGAACTGGCTATTTGTTAGTCCACTACGCTGCTGCACCGTGGACACACTGATGACCTTGATGACATTCTGTCCGCCAAGATTACCCGGAGTGCCTTGTCTCCGATTCAAATGAAACAGTGATGAGCAAATTATAAAACATACCTAAAGCGAAAAAAAACACATTGTCCTGCTTCATTAGTTGCAGCCCCCCTGGAATGAATGCTTGCTTTTCGTACCATTTTATAATCGTAAGTTTACTTAACTATTTTTCGTTACATATTTCAATCTAGTTATCAACAATCACTAATAATCACTTACCGGGATTCGGTATGTCAGTGGAAAAGGAATCATCTGAAAGATTTGGGCAGACGGGGATGAGTGTACAATCGGTGAGCGTAAACAACTGAAGGCATCACATTACTACTACGGCTGCTCTCACTACTGTTATATGCCCGCAATACAGTGACAGGATAGTGAAAATTACGGAATACGGTAAGGGTAAATTGGCAACAAATTGACAACAGAATGCTGCATTAGGGAACAAGTTTACAGAAATCCCACAAGCACATTGGATAATTAATGGAACGGTCCAACGGTGGATGCAAATTTCCCGAAGTTGGTACTTTTAACAGAGTGATTTGCTCTAAGAGGTCCGGTTCATTGTTGTTCATTGAGAGAAACAGCTAATCGCGTTATTTTGTGCAACCCAAACATACTACTCACAATACCAATACTACTACTAAGTGCAACGCACAGAGCATAACTTCATTGTTTCCAAATTATCCCCAACGAATCAAATGAATGCTATTCAACAGGATAAACAAAGATGTTGGTGATCCACGATTCGGGAACCAGATCAGACCTCGTCGTTTGCTTTCGTGATTGATACAAAAAGATGGCCGAGAAACCAGGTTGGAAATGTATAGATCGTCCAAACAGTCAGTAACTGCAATAAAAGTGTCCATACATTTTGCAATTCAAGTTATCCTAATATCATTTCAAGAGGTCTGGGGATCATTTCAAGCTGCCTGATCAGCATTTCAAGCTATTTCGTTGATCTCTTCGGCGCTGATAAGCCTCCCAGCGATATCTGGATGACCATAATGTAGTACAAATTTCTCTACTTCCCGCTGAAGCGTGGAGAACGATTATGAGAAGTGATTGTGAGCCAGACACACAGGCACATGCGCATACGCGTATTTGCATGATAAACAACCAATATGTATGTCTTGGGAATTGGGGTGTGTGTGACCAAGGCACGTCTCACAATCGTCCCCCGCACTTCAACAGGAGGTAGTTAAATCTTTAAGACATAGTGGTCATCCAGACATCGCTGGGGGGCTGGTCAAGGCCGATGAGGTCAACGAAACAGCTTCAAATGATGACCAGACATCTTGAAATGATATTCAAACAACTTGAAATGGCATCTGGACAACTTAAATGGCATGAGGCACAGTCTACAGAGTATAACACTGAAGAGCAATGGTTGTATCCAGAAGAAACAATTATGGAGACAGAGTAGGGCGAAGGAGTGTTTATTTCACGTCATGTGTGCATAATGTAAACAAGTGGTTCATTTTGTAAGCCTGCAGTGGACGGGAATGATCCAATCAGTCGTGACGGAGAAAGGTATCATCTACTGCAATTGTACTGGAGTGGATAGACTGTATTCTCCAGGGCTACGTTGTGGGGGTTATCACAATGCCTAAACACCATAGTTATTCAACTCTTGCAAATGTTAATCCAGGACTAATCGAAACTGAAGCAACTGATCCCTGTGAAACACTTGTGGGTTTGTATAGGCACTAGCATTTATACTGAAGTAATGTTTTCCCACATAACAACAAACCGGCCTTGGTGAGTCTTTATCGCAGTGCTTTTCCTGTTTATAGATGGAATGGTTCGGGATGTCGCGAATATCCCCATTACGTAAGTATTGGTTGACCTATGTTCTGGAATTCAGTGAATTAGCTGTCAAACATAAATTATTATAATGAAACCTTATTTATTGCAATTTCTCCTAGTTGTGAAAGAATTTCATTTCATTATTCAATAGAGTTGCTATAATGGATTATATATTAGATAAAATAATGCCTAATACCAAATATCCGAGATGGCATGGGTTGATGGAAATAATTTGGGATAATTCTTGATTCACTTCTATTAGAATATATTGCGTTTTCATACTTCATGAAGTTTTCGGTTTTTATATTGAGATTATTTACTCTTGGCAACCAAGGTCAGGCACGTTTAATTGACACTCATTCAGCCTAGACACTACCTAGATCGAAAAAGACAAGATATACATTATTGTTTATGCCTAAAGCATTCATATAGGTGATAAATATAATGCAATTCTATTTGATCAGAGAGAAAACATTTTAGTGCATCACAATCAGCAGGTACTTTATGTGTTTCAATTCGTTTGTGACACAACTGTCAGGGTCCTGGTAACGGCAACTGTCAAACCAAATGCTATCCCACAGCACGTTCTGTGTGACGTGGTCAACCCACTCCACTTTCGTAACGTCGACTATCAAGTTTAACTTCATCCAATGATCGAACCCAATTCAGTAACTCACTTGTCCACTGTTATGCGCTAATGAGTGAGTGGGTTCAACTAGTATGCTTCTTTGTTTGATATAAATATGCGCTTACAGTTGAACAAGAATATATCGCAAAATATACCTATTCTCCTCTCAGAGAAGTCTGAAAGTGGCAAAGGCAGATCTGTTTTTATTCGGTACTTCTCATCAGGCCAATACAGTGCACACAATCGAACAT